TCAGATGATCTACTCATGTTACGGCATTAAAGTTAAGTGTTGGAATTTAATCCATTCATTCCGCGAACTGCTAACCTACTCAGCTAAATTGAGTAGCCGACCTGGATGAGAGCTCATAAGCAAAAATAAAAAAATATAACAACAAACGAAGTACTACGAGAACTATCACCATGGTCACATATTTTATTTATTTTTCTCCCTTCTATCCTTCAGCTTTCACTCGAACATAAATTATAGCATACCTTGAGGCGCTTACGCTTACACTTGTTGACTAAACGCGCTGTGTGGCCACAAACACCACTCATTTATGGAATTAATTTATGGTTCCTCAAAAGTACGTTTTGCATAGCAGCCTAGAACTAACTGCTCCCATCCGTCGATAAAGAATAGAACCTTGTCACCATGCAAAAAAAAATTAGACAAAGAAGCAAGAAGGAAATATGAAAGCAAGATATGGTATGACAACAATATTGACGCTAAATAGCTCTCAATGGCTGTCATTGTTCTACCAACATATTTCCTTGCTCTTCATTGAAAAGCGAGTCAAATATAAATAACACTAAGCAGTTAAATACAAAAAAAAAATAGAAAAATATTGGATGATATCGCTCTCAAAAGCAACCAGTACAAAGGCTAAAGTATACACCAACAATAATAAGTGGAGTATATGCTTAATAAGCCTTGAATAATATGTCCTTTGTTCATCAGCGTGTCGCTCGCAAATAACTATGCAAAGTGGCTTAACATTCGCACACACACACGCATACTAATACACACACGCATCTACATATGCACATACGGACATACCAACCTCATTCAAAATAGCCGAGTCTTCACTTTATACGAAGCGCTCATCAACATTATCATCACCTTCATCATTATCATTTTAATACAAGCCGCATGCTCACATACATACATACATCGCCACCCCAGTGCTATCACACAAAATTTATTGAACTCACACACTTTTGTTTTTTTTTTTTGTGTTGATAACATATCTCTTCTTTATACAAACAAACACTTACATGCGAGCGCACCCGCATACGCCCGTCAATCCTTACCAAAAAAAGCAAGCTCCCTCCGGCTCATTCACTAGTACTTATCCGAAATAACGCTACACTGTCACTATCACTCGTAAAAAAGCGTAAGAGCGAAGAATGGGGGTTTATAATTTAATACCGTAATAGTGTCATCATATTGCAATGCAATGTTGAAACCATCGATGGGCGCCCACTTTCATTGCCATACCAGTAGTAGTTCTATTAATTTGTTGGTTTGTTCAGTCAGTTACTCGCTTATTGAATTTGCGCGTTAAGCGGATATACATACATGCACGTGTATACATACATATGAATAGTCATACATCCCTGCAGAAAAAAATTATCAATTAACTAAAATAACCAACTTATAGTTAACGTTTTTGCGGGATTTCGATAAATAATTAACTTTTAATTAGCTACGACAAAACTACCTTTAAATGAGTTGTAAAGTCGTGCAGGAGTCATGCAGACGTTGTAGGAAGTTTGTTTTCTTTCCAAGCTTCTATTTAAATATCCTCCTACAAAAAGTACTTTGAATACACTTTTTTCTGCACTTCGCAGATTATTTTTCCAATTCAGGACAAATAAAATAAAGATCGAAATTTTACAGTATTATTTTGATGTTATGTCTGATGCAACCCAAATGTGGGACCACCTACAAAAGAACATGTAAACAAGTAAGCCAATGTAATTTTAAATAAATTAAATTAAAAAAATTTAAAAAATCTTTTTTCATTGATAGTTTATTTCCAAAAGTACAGCAGAAGAAACCAGTGATCACTATTTTGCGGTCATCGCCCTTCAAAAGTAATTAGTTACGGCCAAAGGAAATAGTTGATAAATAGTTACCACTAGTTAATAGTTAGCTACAAACTAGTCCCATTTCCTGCAGGGTATTTAAATATCCTGCACTTCGCAGACACTTTTTCAAATTGAAGACAAATAAGAGGAAGATCGAAATTTCATATTATCATTTTGAAGTTATGTATGACCGAGTTCGAATATGGGACCACCCACAGTAGAATATGTAAAAAAATATGAAATGTAATAAAATAAAAAAAAAGTAAATGAAAAAAAATTGATATTTTATGTCCAAAAGAAGTTAGTTACAAGTTAGTTACATCAAATACGGAGGTAACCACCCTTGACTACATCTAATGCAGAGGTACCCAGTCGGAAAAGTAGTAATGCATTACATGCGTGATAAATAAATATAATGTACTTCTTATGAGTTCTCAATTATATTACTGCTAACTATGTAATCAGCATTCGAATGTATTCAGAAAGTTCCAAAAATTTCATATTAAAACACATTCATTTCTCGATACTAGGTGATGCAAACTTTGAATGCCCCACCTTTCTTAGGAAAATGCATTTTCGAATGATTATTTTTTCGATTACTATACCTTACATTTTCTCACTGGGTAACTACCCTTGACTATTTCGCGGCCATCGCCATAGAAATATAGTTAGATTTCGTCAAAGAAAATATACAGATAATATTGACTTTTAGCTCCTTCCTAATCAACTTAAAGTTAGCTTATAGTTAGATACATTTCCTGCAGGGATACTTTACTACATACATATGTACCATTACATGTATGAATGAATATCCATATCCATGTACATACATATACATGTAAATCTAGAAGTAGACTTTGGTGTGTCGCCTTTCAGCCCGATTTTCCTTCGCCCAGCTAAAACTGAGTATTTATCGGCTTGTAATATTAATATAGGTTCAATCGTGTGTGTGGTAAACCTCTTTACGGTTGTAACAAGTGTTGTTGAATGTATTAATATAAGCGCTTTTTCACAAATTGTTACACTGTACAAATTGCACTTTAAGGAACCCAGATAAAAATTAAGGAAAGTTCAAAACAAACTGCAGACCCAAAATCTTTCTAAGAAATCCTTTTTAAAAAAATATAAACTTTGATGAACATTGTTTCTAAGTTTAAAAAATTTGTGGAAGCTTTGTGCAAGCTTCGAAACTCTTATTTATGCTGTTTCTGATACAGATCGGCCCATATTTGAAATCAAAATTATTACCAATAAATAAATAAACATAAGTTACCAGCAGCATCATTTTGAATTTTACTGCTAATATTTTACTCGCAGCTATACATACATGTGTGAATCTCACGAGTTGCTTTTTTAGTGTCAATCCCTTTTTTCGCCGGAAAATCAAACGCTAAAGCATTTTTCTTTTTGCATTTATTTAATTCAATGGAGTTCCAGAAACAAGTTCAATAAAAATTAAATCAAGTATTTGAACAATTTTAGCTTTAAAACGAAATTGTTCATTTTTTCATTGTCACTCAAAAAAAATATAATTTTTTTGTAATAAATTTGGTAAGTTTTCAAATAGAATGTTCATATTAGAGGCAATCAAAGTTTGCATCAAATACATATCTGTGAAGATTCAAGAGTGTGCCACTAAATTTAAAAAAATGCCAGCGTGCAGAATATTTGTCGCAGCTATTTTGTAATTTTTAAAATTTAACGATTCTTCGATCTTCAAAGTTTAAGATACTTCAAAATGTTAACATCAAATGGTAAAAATGTTCTTGCCAAAAGGAACTAATCCAGATTAATAAGACTAGTGTGCCACTAAATAAAAAAATTACATTGTTTATAATCATTGAAGATGATTTGCGAAACAGAAATTTTAATTTTACAATTATCATTGGCACACTCGAAATTAATTCTAGAATTGCTATATGCATACAGAAATTGACATATATATGCGTGAAGTATACTGTGGAAAAATCTTCCATGCCAAACTTCTAAAAATAATATGACTTTTTAAGCTAAGGCGTGCGAGTAAACGTGTTGGCATACTGTGTATGGTTCTACGGGGCGTGTACAGACGTTAAATACACAAGTATGGGTATATGAGCACGGGCGGTTATTTTTAACCGACTTCGAAAAAAGTTCGTTCGTTGGAATATTTTTTTCCCCCTATCATGATCAGAAATTAAAGATAACATTAAATTTGTATATGAGAATTGAAGTCGGTTTTGTTTTTTGCTTAAAAACTACTTGTAATATATCTTTTTTAAGATTTTATTTAAATATAATTTCGCAACGGAATCTTGCTCTTTATAAAAACCTAAAGATAATGCATGGTGTAAGATAAGTGTGCCACCATTTTGGATCAAATAAACGTTTTTGCCAAAAATGTAACTACTCGTGAGCTTTACTCATTCATTTAGCTGCTCGCAATACTGAATGTTATAATAGAGTTCCCACTATATAAACATCGGCATGTTAATTGCTTAGCTTCTAAATTACAACATTATATGGCAAACTTTTTTTATGTACCCTACACGTGTAATAACAAACAACGCAGCTAACCGCAAAAAGCATTTAACGCGATAGAAACGTGCGCTGCTTTTAGCTTGTAAATCACACTACACTAATTACTGCAAACTTATGTATATGTTTTTCTCAAAGTGTACTACTACTTTACACAGTCGAAAGCTGCTAATCAAACCCAAACATCGAAAGCATGTACGAGTAGTTAGTTACACGCAGTAAAGGAACTGTGTGTGTGTGTGCGCCAACCAATCGACCAGCATACACGCGCTAACCAACGAGAACTACAAGTAGACTACCAACGCCAACAAACACACAAACCTAACTGCAATAGCGGGTATCTATGTTTGTGTGTGTGAATTTACTTCCATTGGACAGCAAAGTATTAGCGGATTCAATTGAGCGCGCTCAGTAGTAATTGGTGTGTTAAAGCCGTTGGACGAAAAATTGTTACAGAAAATGAGTTGAATAGTAAATTCGCGCATAAATTCATAAAGTATAGCTGAAAAGTGGTGGTGCTAAAAAAAAAAACAAAAATAATTAATGAATGCAACAAAAGCTTTTACTGCTTGTAAGTCAGAGTTAAATAATGGTTTATTTATTTTTTTTTAATTAAGCAACAAATTCAACGACTAAATTTGTCATACTTTAATTGCCACGCATACAATGAATGACTAAATCGACTAAATATTTATGTATGTATAAGAAAATGCTAAAGTTGCTAATCTAAAAATCAACAGTTGGTTGCCAGACAAACCACAACAGTTGGTTGTGTTCCCTCGCATTGACTTGCATGCCGACAACAGTGGGTTTTTGTTTTCCCCTTTTAGCAGAAACACAACGCCTTTTCAACTCTAATTCGCGCCAACACAATACTTTAGTAAATTCAAAGAAAAACAAAAACAAAAACAAAAAAAATGTGTGAAAACAATATGCAAATTGTAGTCTTTAATATTTGTATGATAATGAAGTGGAAATTGTGAAAAAAAATTTTTGAAAGCACATCTTTATTTCAATTCGCAAAATATTATTTTCGTATGACTCAGCGACCAATTGGCAAATCACTAAAAACGATAAACGAAAATTGTGGAAAAATAAAGAAGTGTACAAAGTCCCAACGAAATTCATATGGTCGCCAATGAGCCGTAATCATCATCATCATCGTCATCATCATCGTCATCATCATCATATCATTACCGAGCAGCTTATCCGCGCGCGCGTTTGGTAAGCGCACACTCACCTACACATGTACATATGTATGTGCCTATATGTATGTAGAGGAAATATCGATTGAATATTTTTTTTTCTTCCTTTTTTTTGGAGATATGGCAAGCAGCACTCATACGCCCTGTCCGGTCTGATTTTATTAAGTGCTGCATAGCTCTTTGCGCATTTGGTGACAGTCTGTATCCGTTTTGGTGTTTTTTTGTTTTGTTTTCTGTTTTGTTCTCTGTTTTTTTTTTCTGACACAATCGGCAAAGTGATAATTGTATTAAATCAGCATCGGTGGGTGGTGTTAGCCGAGAAATGGCGCGCCGCGGTGATTGTCATTGCTGCATTGTGCGCATTGAAAGCAAATTGAGCAGCTACCAAATTTAATAGACCTGTGCATATGTGGGTGTGTTGGAATTATTGACGCTATTTATAAAGTTACTTGTGTTTGCCTAAGGAATTAGTCGAAACAATTAACTAATTTATATTTGCACCAGACATACGAAGAGTGGGGTGTGTAGGTGTGTGGTTTTGTTTTTCATTCATATACCCAAATTGATGTCTTCATAAGTACATGTGGTGAGTTGAAATTGCAGTAAACTTCAAGCCTTGTTTAAATAAAATGTAAAGTGTTTAATTTAAAATTAAACATCTAAAAATATCCATATGGAAAAATCATAAAAATGCTGTTAACAACGAAGTACCGCATAAAGTGTTAATAACACTGCATCACAAATTTGTGTTTTTTTTATTCACCGGATGCCTCTATCCAATTTCGACGTGAAAATGCTCTTTGACTCCCAATATCGAGCTACACTGCCGCCAAAAAAATGGCACTGCGAATTTTACACAATAGAAATATGGTTCATTTTAGAACAAAAAACACCAAAATATAATTTCTAAACTTAGTGCAAAACTCACGAAAATTCAATAAATTGTCAACTTTTTAATCAGAATTTTTAGAAGTTTTGTAGCCCATTAAATTCTAGTATAAAAAATTCAAGTTCGGAGTTAGCTGAAAATCGCATTGATTTTTAAGATTTTTTTTTTTTGTTGAAGGTGTTTTCATTTTTTCCATATAAAGCATTTTCGAAACATTTGTTTGTATGGAAGAGACTGCGTGAAAAAAGAATTTACTTTATTACAATAAAATTGATTGGGCTACAAATCTGCATACCCGAAAAATTTCTAAAAAATGTGAATAAAAAGTTGAAAATTTGCATGAAAATTTGCTGAAATTTCGCGAGTTTTGGACAAAGTTTAGGAATTATACTTTTATGTTTTTTGTTGCAGAAAAATATTAGAGTAAAAATTGTTGCATATATTGTGAAAAATTTGCCGTGCCAACACTTTGTTCCGGCAGGGAATGTATTTTTTTCTATAGATAAGTTTTCGAGATATTTTCAATTTGCCTTTATTCAGCTTAATCAATTTTAATATGAAATATGGCAAATGGAAACTAACAAAATTCTCCATAAAGTGATGGGCCTGAGAAATGAATTATTCATAACATTTTTATGAAAATGCTTACCTTAACAAGGAAAAAAATAAAAATAACAAATTCTGTGTCGAGTTTTTTCATTTGTGTTGGAAGCCTGTTCCGTTGCAAAAAAAAAAATCAAGAAAATCAAGCAGTTTTTTTGTATGAAATATGAGCAGAAAAGAATGTTACTCATACGCCATGCCCACTCTCACCATCTCATATATCATACAACACTGCTTGCGCATTTTTATTTGACCACTCATCCCTTTTTTATTTATCCATTGATAGTCTTAATTAGTGGCTTCATATTTTTGTAACAGAACAGACTTTAACTTTGAGAAAAATATACACAGAATTTGTTATTTTTTAATTTTTTGCGCTATTAAAGTTTGAATTTTTTCCTTTTTTCATCAAAAAATAAATAAATCTGCAATGATTAATTAATTTCTCAGAAACTATCAGGCCTATTGAAAAGTTATATATGTTTATGGTTTATGGAGAGTTTAGTAAATTTTCATTTACCAAAGTTCGTATTAAAAATCGTTAAATCGGTTCGTAAGGTATACGTCATTAAGTGTGACCACTTTTTTTTTAGCTTAATAACGGTAAATTAAAAAAATAACTCGATTTTCGGATTCAGCGAGCAATTCTACATAGGCACTGTATATTGGCCTCCGTTGTGCATTTTTGCTGCAAACCAGTGTAATCGTAACCCTTTTGCACTTCAATCGAATAAAAAACTTTACATTGCTGTTGCCTAACGACTGTAGGCGCAAACATTTTAATTTAAAATTTTATTTAACTGTACACACAGATATTCTCGGCAATATTATTTATAGCCTGCTACAGTAAAACCTTATTAATTGGAGAGTCTTTCAAATCATAAAAACGCCTCACTAGAAGAAGAGCCCTTCCGGTTATCAGGTATACAACTGGGATTGGAACCGTAGTTAATGTTGCCATCTGGAATGGGTTCGGGGTGTCACGCGTCTATGAAAGAGATAAGTTGTTTTGGATTTAATTTTCTCTTCTGGACTACGTACATAGCTTATTTTACACGCAACACAATTTTTTTAAGAATAAATATATAAAAAATAAAATGGGTTCTTTTGATCTGATATTGTCAGCATACTTTTCTAGTTATCACCAGCTATCTATCGAGGTTCTACTGCATTTACGCTTAGCACTAACATTTTAATGCACACTTAAGTGTCAAGTGTTGCATATAAAAACAGCAAGCATTTCATAAAAATACTTTCACTTTTACCATCTGACTTTCAAACATATGTACGTATGTATGTATGTACGTGTTTGTACACACATGCTTAGCCATAAAACCGTAGTAAGTGGATCAAATTTCATTGATGCGATATAAGTTTACATCCTTGCTGGAGCCGCTTAAAAAAGATTAAAGAAGTATTAACTTTTGCTACATATGTGTGTAAAGCCTAGGGACTTAAGTGTTTCTTAAAATGTTGTTAGCTGCGCAATGGTGATTTGACTTACATACTTAAATGTATGCGTGTTTATGTGCATATAAGTATTTAAGTACTTGTAGGCATCTTAAGGGATAAATGTGTAAATGATTAAAGTTTGGAAATAAAAATTGAAAGTTCAATATTTTTAGATGATATTTACGATGAATCGAAATTTTATGCTCGATATACATACATACTTACTTTGGGCCAAAATGAAACTTTGTCAAATTTTCCTAACTTTTATAACTCAGAGTTAGGCATTTTAAGAAAATTACCAATTTTTGTGCTCAATAAATTTTTGCTAGAACAAATTTTGGAATTTATCATAGCATGTTTTATTTTTAGCAATTACCAGAGCTATTTTCGAAGCTTTGTCGCTTCTAGGTAGATAAATGTTTATACACGTACCAATATGTGTGTACAAATGTACGTATGTATATAAAAATGTATTTTTAGTACACTCGCTTAGTAGATAAGCACCTCTCTGGGGCCCCGCTGTAATGGATATGAGTAAAATTTTGTGTTGGTGAATGAAAGTAGAAGCAAAAATAAATAAACATTTTTCCATGCAGATAAACAAAAAAACCAATATCCAGTTGTCTGTGCTACACTTACATACATATAAGGGAAAAACTGATAAGAGCCATCCACTGAAATTCCAATATTTTTAGAGGAAGTTGCAGGCACTGGAAAATTATGGAAAGACTGCGTGATTCTTAAATAAATACTTTGTAATTTTTAACGGAAAAATATGTACATATATGTATATGTATATGTAAACAGAGGCTTAAAAATACTTAACTTTTAATTTTCAAATACATACAAGAGACACACGCATTATTTTCTTATATACTCTAAAACGTCTAATTGCCAGCAACACATATGACCGCCACTTTCATACAACTGTATCGAAATTTACAACCCAAACCATTTTTTTATTGCTCTGCCACTGACGGTATGCTGATTAGCGTTTGTTTGTGTTGCCTATACATAGGCGCTCACCCACGAATACGGGGACTGTCTGCTACGCGGCAGACAACACATCATATGCACAACCCTGCAGGGAAAGCTACTAGTTGTGAACTAGAATTCTACCAGTTTACGTTTCAGCCCAACTAGTTCACGTTCTATTCTTTTCCAATGTTAGCGACTGGTATTTTTAATATTGCGATGTCCTACGAGATGAAGAATAAGTATGCCTTTTTGCTCGCGGCGCTCCAAGATTCGCAATGGCCGACAGAGCAAAATACTTGGCGCAGGGAATTTTTTTATAATAAAAATATTTTTTTTATTAAGGGTTTTTATTGTAATTTTTAAATTTAATTTAAAAAAAATATTTTTAATTTTTTTTTTTATGGCACAAGAATTTTTTCCCATATGTATGTTTTTTCTGCAATGCAATTAGATTTTCAAATTTGTTATTTATATCTAAATTGAAATAATAATTTTTGATCACATTGATTTAATTTTAAAAACCTTAACCAACTCCAAGCTGCCTCGAACCTGCGATCTCAGAACCAGAGCCAGTAGTCCTCACGTGACGCCACAGAATTTTTAGCTTTAGCAATTCAAAGGCAGATGTCGCTGAACGCTTAAGTTCTTCGAAATTGTCGAATTGGTAGGCACATACTAGTTAATGAACTGGTATTTTTTCTAACTGTTTCGGCTTTTCACTGCAGGGAAAATACAAATGTACACATATACATATGTATGCATACTCGCCACTGCTTCCACGTATTTGTTTAGCTTTTATTACTTGCGGAGTATTTGTGTTGACAACTCGTATGCTCGTAACCAATAAGTGTAAGTTAGCTCTGTTGCACAAGTGACAGTCAACTTAGGCACCCGCCTGCATTCTCTGCCCAGACTGAACTCCTACTTCCAGGGCAATGTACATACTATGTATGTATGTATGTATGTAAGTGCTCGTATTTGAATTGGTTTCGAATGCTGGTATAAACATATCTAGTTATGTAGTGCTGTTGCTTCGTTATTTTTGTCATTTTCGGCATGACTTGTTGATTTATGGACTCGTGTGGGACGAGCAACGC